ATATGAGGGTTGGTTGCCTTTAAGCTTCTGTGCTTCAGAATTAATTATTAGGGATGCTAGGAATTGTATGAACTCGTAATTAAGGATAGGCTTTCTTGCAAGGTGATTTAGAGAGTGGCATTAACATTGATGAAAAGAATGATGAATTCCTAAAGTATATGAGAGTGGATAAGATGAAATTGATTACCCCAACAACATACTCATCCATTTAATTCATTAAAGTGTTTGTTTTCCTCTTTTCCGTTGATCAACATTCATGCATACATGTTTAATTACTGTCTTTTGCATTTAAACCCAACAATCAATCGTTAACAAGTCTTAAATAATCAACAAATCATATAACTAACTAGGTTGTGAGTCCTTTGGGAGAACGATACTTGGCTTTACTAAGTTTATTACTTGATACGATTCGGTCACACTTGCAAAAGGTTAAACAAGTTTTTGGCGCCGTTTTTCGGTGTTCATAAATTTGTCATCACTATTCCAAACCACAAGAGCACTGAAGCGGCCATTAGAAACTTGGAGATGTAAGTTGGCCAAATAGCTACGAAGTTGGAAGATATGCCTGATAAGAGTTTTAGGGCTAATACTGAGGTTAACCCTAAGGAAGAGTGTAAAGTTTTAGTGAGTGTGAATGTTGAAAGAGTTCAGTTAGAGAGCAAAGAAGAAAAAGAAGAGAGAGTAGAGAGAAAAGAAGAAAGACAAGGAAAGGATGAGAGAAAAGAAAAAGAAGAAAAGAGAGGAGAGAAAATTTTTAAAATATTTGAAAAAATTCTTCCTTATCCAAAAGGTTGTGAGAGAATAGAGAAAGAGAGACAATTTGGGCATTTTAAAGATATCTTCAATCAATTGGAGGTTGATCTACTTTTGAATGAAGCATTGCAACAAATTCCAGCTTTTGTCAAGCATATGAAGCCAGTCTCCACAAAGAAAAGATTTTTAGATGAGGAGATTGATGAGTGCAAAGCAATTAAGAAGAAGCCACTTCCTCCAAAAGTGAAAGATCCAGGAAGTTTTACCATTCCTTGCATCATAGGGAAGGAGAAGACAAGGAAAGCCCTACTTGATTTAGGGTCAAGTGTTAATTTGATGCCTTTATCTCTATTTGAGTGAATTGGTGATCTTGAAGTCAAGCCAACAAGGGTGACTTTGCTAATGGAGGATGGATCTTCAAAGAAGCCTTATGGTGTAGTGGAAGACGTTATGGTTTGTGTGGGCAAACTAAAATTATTGTTGGACTTTGTGGTGATGGAGATGGAGGAGAATTTGACTCCAATTATTCTTAGAAGACCGTTTATGAAAACGGCCAAGGTCATCATCAATCTAGATGAAGGGATGACAGTGCTTCAAGACCAAGAAGAAAGGGTGGTCTTTAATGTCTTCAAAGAGGAGCAGCAGATGCAAAAGGAAGAGGCTAGTCGTAAAGCTACATGTCAAGATGTACCCATGACTAGCTTTAAAGCTGCAAAGCCGGGCTTCAAAGGTAAAAAAAATTTCTTGTCACAGGTTAGGGAAGAAGAAAAAGATGGCAAAGAAAGGACGGTTCATGATGACTTGATTCAAGCACAACTCAAACTTGGTAAACCTGTAAGATTCAAGAACAAGTTGTGGATTGTGAAAAGACTATAAAGAGAATGGAGTGATAGAGATTGAATCTCCATATTAAAGGAGAGTCAAGAAGGTGGACCGGAAGCAGCTGATGAGTTGGTGTGATGACAATAAGATGAGCACCAACATTGAAGATGGAACTTGAGCTTTATTGGGTCAAGCTAGTGATGTTAAAAGAGCGCCTGCTGGGAGGCATCCGAGCGATTTGAGAACATTAATTTCTTTAATTTTTATTTATGGGTGATGTAATTTTATAAACTTTGGACATTTTTTAATTATTTTTTTAGACTTTTGGCTATAGCATCTACTGACGGATGCTAGGTGGATAAGTATCTACTGAAGGATACTATGCTATCATACACTTACTGATGAGTGTTGATGAAAACGGTATACACCTACTGATGGGTGTTGGTCAGAAATATTTGCATCTACTGAAGGGTGCTGGAGGATTTTGGGACAGGCTTGTGACGTTAAACAAGCGCTACCTGGGAGGCAACCCAGTTGATTAACTTGATCTTTGTTTGTTTGTTTTGATTCTGCTTTAGATGCATTATAGGGATTGAACGTTTGAGTGTTGTGAGAAGTTAAATGAATTGGGGTTGTGAGAGGCATTGGTAAAGGACACCTAGGGCAAGCTAGGAAGAAGAAGAGTTGGTGCCGCAAATGTCGCTTAGCGATAAATATCGCCGAGCGCGACTGCTGCAAATTGGGCTGACTGGTTTGTTTTATTTGGGCTTAGCGGGACGTGGCCCATTAGGTCTCTTTTATACCCTAGGACGTGTCTTGGCCACCACTTTCAGATCTCCCTATTTCCACACACTCTCAAGCACTCTCCAAAGAGTTCGCTTCACTTTTCCCTTCTTCCCCCTTCACAAAACTTCTCTTTCAACCATTTTTGCATCAAGTTTCCATCCAATTTTGGGTTTGGTGAGACCATTGCTTTTAGGGGCTGATTTCTTCATATTCCTAGAGCATTCTAAGATAAGGAGTGTTTTAGGGAGTTGTTTGTGGTTTACTAATGCTTAACAATGTGTCTTATGGTTTTGTGATTTGTGTTTGATGCAAGGATGGCCTCCTCATCGAGCAAAAGAATCAAGACTATAGGATCCAAGAAGAAGGAGAGGAGGAAGATTCGGATGATAACAGGGGTTGATGAGGAGCTAAGATAGCATCTACTGATGGATGTTATCACCTCTAGAGCAAGATTTTTTCTATCTTTTGTTTTGTACTATTGAACTTATTTGCTTCTGTTAGTAGAATAGGGTTTGATGTACTCAATTTGAAACTGTGTCTGTTATGATGGTTTGCTTGTGACTTATGCATGATGAGTATTATTTGATGATGCTTTGATATTGATTGATATTGAGATTGTGCACTATATGCTGAGATACAGGTGATGGTTCACAAGCTTTGTGAACAAATGCATGATGTAGTGATTGTGATTATGATGCTAAGCAGGATGTGTATGTGGAATGGTTAAATGAGCCTATATGTGAGGTTTTTGAGATCCAGAGTTTTTGATTGAATGCTATTACTTTGAAAGCATGAATTACTTTGCCTAGGTTTTCTATGATTGAATCATTTGCTTGTATGTGTCATATGATCAAGGCATTTGTTGGTAACCCTTTTTACCCAAGATGCATGATTTTAGCCCACTAAAAGAGAACACTATGTGTTCTATCCTTTGAACCTTTAGCTTTGAACATGATTTGAAAACCCTTTTTGAAAAGCTTTACCTTGAGTTGAGTTGAGAATATTTTGTGGTATTGATAAATGTTCAAGTTTGGGGTTGTTGGGAAGTCTAGAAAGGAAAATAACAAGCATTGAGCCAAGAGCTAAGCACCTAAAAATCAAAAGAAAAAGAAAAGAAAAGAAAGAAAAAGAGAAAGGCTCAATGCAAAAGAAAGTTGGGAAGAAGGAAGAATGGTTTAGATGATTCACTTAACTCAAGGATTTTGTGATTTAGAAAAACCCATTTTCTTGTTAGCCCAGCCACATTATAAGCCATAGAAAGTCCTTGTGATGATACTTACTTGTGAATGTTTTTATTGTGGTTAAATAAAAGGCAAAGTTAATTCATGTAACATTGTGATAGTAGAGTGGATGAGTGACCTCTTATACACTTGTGTGTTTGAGTGAAACCCTTTATCTAGTAAGGAAAGATTCCATGAACACATAAGAACATTTATGCTTAGTTGATTGATCATTCATGAAAATAGCATTTCTTGGATATTATGTGATTACATGAACACCAAAGCATATGCACATCTTGATTGAAGTCTTTGTGATGAGCTAATTTAAGTACTTACTTGTCTTAAAAGAAGGAGTTTTGAATGTGGTGAACCATTGTGTGGATTGGTGGAAGATTGAGTTACATCTTGTTTGCTTGAGGACAAGCAAAGTTCTAAGTTTGGGGTTGTGATAACAGTTGAAAAACTGTTATTTTTATACTTAAAATTTACCTTAAAGACAATCTTTATGACTTAGAAACTAGCTTGGAGTCATGCTTTTGTTTATGTTTTTGAAATAAGAGAGTTGGATGGGTTTTATGCTTGGTTTTCCTTGTTTTAAAGAAAGCAGGTTTTAAGATGATTTGGATGAAAGAAGTGAAGTAGGAAGAAGTTGGAATCAGAAAAGGAAGTGAAAAGTGGACAAAAAGAGAAGACACGAGTACCGCTCAGCGGGAATTTCCGCTGAGCGGTGTTCTTAAGGTCCCGTAGTCACCGGTGAGGGGCAGAAATGCAGCTGAGCGTCAAATAGAAGAACACGCACTTACCGCTGAGCGGTATTTACCGCTGAGCACCATTTTTATGGGCCTTGGGCCACTTTTTTGTAATTTTTAGAATACTATATAAGGTTTTAGTTGACCTAGGTCAGTCATCTTTGGCTGGAACGAAGCATAATACACTTTCTTCACCCCTTGGAGGAGGATTTTGGATGTTCAAGCCCCACTCTTCAAATTCTAGGGTTCTATCTTTCATTCTTTCATTGTTTTTCATCTAGTTTCACCACGATTATGGTGAACGAAACCTTCATTGTTGTTGGGGAACCATTATAATCCTTTGAAGCTCTCATGTATTGAATTGATTCTTTATAATATATGCTTTCTTTTATTAATTGTTAGGGTTTTTCTTCTATACTCTATGCATGCTTTGTTTAACTCATTCAATTGCGTGATCGTTGATTTTGTTGATATGGACACATACGGGGAAATCTAGAACTGGGGAAATTCTCCCAATAGTAGTATAAACCTAGACATCAGAATATGATGGTTGGTTACCTTTAAGCTTCTATGCAAATGTAATGCATGAATAATTGGTAGGGAGACAAGACATTGTAAACTAGTGATTAGGAGTAGGTTTTCTTCACCAAGACATTGGGTTTAAGGTAATTTATAAAGTGACATTAACATTAATGAAGAAAGATGAATTCTTGAATATATGAGAGTGGATAGGATGAATTGGTAAACCCCAACAACATAATCATTTATATTATTCATCAACCATTTTTGCATTGTTCAAGTCCATTGATCAAAACCTTGCATTCATGTTTATTTTTGCATAGTTCAACAACAATATTTTCGGTTACAACTCTAAGATAATCAACAAATTACATAATTGTTTAGGCCGTGAGTCCTTTGGGAAACGATACTTGGTCTTACCAATTTTATTACTTGATACGATTCGGTTACACTTGCCGAGGGGTTAACACCTATGTGTAGGTAATATTGCTCTTGGGAGAATTTTCGCAGTTCTAAATGTACTTATATGTGTCCATACAAATAAGATCAATGATCATGCAATTGGATGAGTTAAACAAACCATGCATAGAGTATAAAAGAAAAACCCTAACAATTAATGAAAGAAATCATATAGAATATAGAACCAATTCAATACATGAGAGTTTCAAATGATTAAAAGAAAAGAAAAGAAAAGCTCAATGCAAGGGAAATCTGGGAAAAAGAAAAGAGATTTATGCTTGAATGATGAAATCATAAATGTTTCTCTTAACTCAAGGATTTTTCTGACCAGAAAAATCAATTTCCTTCTTAGCCCAGCCAAGTTACAAGCCATGAGAAGCCCTTGTGATGAGAACTTGTTTGTGAGTATGTTTGATTGTGGTTAAAGGAAAGGCAAAGTTAATTTGTGTGACATTGTGATAGCAGAGTGAAAAAGTCACCAACACCTCACTATACACCTTTGAGTTGAGTAATACACTTTTGAGTGCTTGAGTGAAACACTTTCCTTGGTGAGGAGTAGTTCTTTGAATTTCTAATTACATATTTGCTTGATTGATTGATCATTCTTAAAGATAGCATTTGTTGAAGTATATGAGCATCACATTGATTTTGATTGAATTAAGGCATTTGTACATCTTGTTGACATATGTATGCTGAGTTGATAAAAGTGATATCTTGTCCTGAAGGAGAAAGTTTTTGAAAAATGTTGAGTCATTGTAGTGATTGTTTTTTAAAAGCTGAGTTACATTCTGTTTTGCTTAAGGAC